CCAGCCTTCTGGTTAGCAGTCAAGTGCCTTAGCCACTATGCTACCAGAGCTACTAGCTGATAACACTTCAATAGCAATGAGGATGCCTAGTGTCCAAACCTTGGTTCCTAAATAGTTTCCTGTTAAAAGCAAACAGGGATTCTTGGAGAAATGGCTCATTCTATGTGTAGGGTACTGAATGCAAGGTGAGCCTGAGATTATCTTTTATCAGAAGGCAATTAAGAGCTCAAAGATTAAATGGGGAACGTCAAAAGGACATAAGAGGTACCTGAATAGTTCCAACTGGCCACATTTGGGACAATTTGATCATCAGAAACAATGATCATATTGACTATCACATAGTGAATCATCTGTCATCGCTGCAGACGATGATGCCAACTCCTTACTCTGGATACTGGTAATTAAAGTATTGTGTTCATTCCTAGTTATGAGGGAAAGCTCTTACTTAGAAAAGAATGCCAGTCAATACATGTAGAAAGAATGATAGAAAATCCCCATTTTGCAAATCTTTATAAAACTTGATTCAGGCAAGGATCATCACTGGATATTAAAACCAATTATGAAACATTGTTGGTAAAGAGGTTATTCATGTTTCCGAAGTGTTATTTATTAACTGCAACAGGAAAAACAGACCTTTAATTGGAAAGATCACCTTAACTGAGTGATAAAACTTCATTGGTAGTGAGTCAACCTGATATTAATGAGACTCCTGATGTGATGCAGTATGAAATACTTCTGTTGTTGTTGTTGTTGTTATTTGCCGTCGAGTCGGCCCCGAAATACTTCTAGAAGTATTAAAAATGTTTAATCTGAATCCTGAATCCAATCAAGACTTTGGACCTAACATCTAATTTACAGACTACAGGAGATCCAGGAACAAGATAAACCACATACATGTAAACGATCAGTTAAATCCTGAATGGGGGGCTTTCTCCAAGACAAATGACTTGATCTCTTAAAAAAAAAAAAAAAAAAAAAAGAAAAGAAAACAAAAGATGAGGGACTGTTTTAGACAGATGAAACAGTCCTAGTAATCAAATATAAGGTGATCAACTTGACTGCATCAACAAAGGAAATTTAAACATGAACTGCCATGGAGTCTGATCTGATTCACAGCGACCCCTCCTTGGGTTTCCAAGGCGGTATCACTACCGAAGTAGATTGCCCAACATTCCCTCCGAGGAGTGGCTGGGTAGGTTTGAACCGCCAGCCTTCTGGTTAGCAGTCAAATGCCTTAGGCACTACACCACCAGAGGTCCTTAAATATAAACTAGATGTTAGTTATCAGGGAGTTACTATTCATTATTTGAGGTAGGTAATGGTCTTATGATTATGTAAAAGATTGTCCTTATTTTATGAGATGCATGCTTAAGTATTTAGGGGTGCAATGTCCTGTTATCTTCAAATTGTTCAGTGAACAATATGGCAAAATATTAAATTTTAAATCTAGGTGGTGAGTCTACAGTTGATTTTATTATTCTTTTTCTATTTGAAAATTTCCTTCACAAAAGATATGGAAAAATAAGACTCCTAATGTTAAAAACTGTTACTATACATGGATCAGAAAACTGCAAAAGTGGGAAATATACACGAAAATCTAGAATTCTTCACTACTATTATTATTCTACTATTTAATAAGGGCATCAATTGCCTCAGTATATCAGTGGAAGACTTTATAAATGCATTATTTACATAAAATACACAAAGGCAGGATACAAATAAAACATAAACAAAGGGGCCATGGACTGTGATATGTCACACATTCACTTCAAGAGAAAAGTGTAAATATGAAGCAGCATTAAAAAAACCCCTGCATCTTGAATACAACTGTTACTTTTAACATAATTATGGAATAAGCATAATTTGAGCATTATGCACCTGGAGATAATCTGTACTTTTTGAAGGATGATACCATGATGCCAAGGCTAAGTAATGTAAGGACAAGGGAAAGCAGCAATTTCTTGATGAAAACACTCAACAATAAAGCTGTGAAGATAACAGCACCCAAGTCCTTCCTTCAGCCCTTGTCTGCAGAATGTTTACAAAAACAGTAATGTGCAAATGAAACTACATGGTAAATAAATGCTTAAAACGATATTTAGGGCACCAGCATTTACATAAACTTTTCCTCATCTAGGTCAGGAAAACATCCAAGTGCAAAGGTGTTCCATGATTTTTTTTTAAAAAAAGAGCATCCCCATTAAGATTCTGGGGTTCTGATTCTTCATAATTTTTAAGCAGTTTCTATTACCCAGTAAATGATCAATATTTGATAAGTATTTCACTGCATGTATGCACAAAGAAAAAAATACTTTTAAGTTGTACAATTTCATTCCAGGTCAGTCAATTCTTATTACTCAACTCTAATTTATCTATGTATTTATTCATTAAGAAGGAGTCATGTTGGCACAGTGGTAAAGAGCTTGGTTGCTAACTGAAAGGCTGGCAGCTCAAACTCACCAGCCCCCTCACGTGGCAGTCTGCTTCTGTAAAGATTACGGCCTTGGAAACCCTATAGGGCAGTTCTGTTCTGTAGTATAGGGTTGCTTGAGTCGGAATTGACTTGTTGACAGTGGGTTTTGGGTATTTATTAATTCAACCACCACGTATTTATAATTTCCCACGTGCAAGGCACTGGAGAGAAAAACGTGAAATGAAATCTCAGCTCTCAGAATATGGTCTTATGTTCTAATAGTAGAATGCTGTGGACATTAAATACATTTTTTTTTTTAAACAACCTATTTCTACTTGCATCTTTGCCAGTTTTCCTTTTATATTGTTTGTTGTTGTGTTGTTATTTGCCGTCAAGTCGAGGACCCACAAACTCAGTTATTATTAATGATTCAACTATAGCTTGCATCAATGATAGTTTTTGCATCAATGCTTTTTCCAATGAAATTTTTTTCCTGTTTTGAGAATAACCCCTATTTTACTTGCATGTATGAAGGAGTGGCAGGCTTCCAATTATCCTTGAAAAAATCATTTCATTTTTAGTTTCTTCTTATGAACAGAATGAATTTTGCATTTTTATTTAGTCACTTATTTTCTTAGGTAAACCAGGCACAATTACATTCAGTGTTAAAATAAACCAAAACCAAACTCATTACCATTGAGTTGGTCTAACTCTTAGTGACCCCCACAGGGTTTACAAGGCTGCATCTTTATGGAAGCAGACAGCTTCTATTTTCCTTTCATGGGGCAGCTGGTGGATTTGAAACTCCAACCTGTTGGTTAGCAGCCAAATGTCTTAACCACTACACCACCAGTGCTCCTTAAAATAGTTACATATATATTCTCCTTCCACACTTCATTAGGTCTTCAGCTTAATTTTTCCTGACTCATTTTCTGCAATAAACTCAAATCTATTTCCCACTACTTATTGTTTATACATTAAGTATATATAACAAAGTATATATTTTTTATATAGCTCTCATTACTTGTCTTGGGACAGGGTAGCATTTAGAAACCCATTTTAGCAGGTCTCTTAAGCTTATTTCCTGACAAAGTAGCTTAAATCATCTCTTTACTTATATTACCATTCATTCCTTTAGAAAACTTTGCTACTTAAATAAGCTATGATGTTCAGCACTGTAACAAGTCTGAAAGGATTCAATGAGAAAGTTTGAGTCCTGAGCACATCAGGGACTCAGTAATTGTTTCAATGGAAGAAACAGATTTCCTACAGTAAGAGAGTCAGGGGAATCCTAAGGTATGAATTTAGGAGCCAGGTGGAAATAATATCTTGTAACTATTGTTTTAGGTCAAAACCTAGTGAAACTAAGGCTGATTATGTCTTAAATTTAAACTTGGGGTGTTTAATTTCTGCCAGTTTAAATCTATACATTCTTAAGGTTATATACACAACAGTTTCTCTATTCTGAAATATCATCTTTAAGTTTCTCTTCTTTTAATATCTCAGTATTTGGAGGAAAGTGTAAATCAACAATAGTCACCTAAGAGTCTTTAAGATACTTGCAATTATATTTTTGCAAACCTACTGGATCCACATAGCAGTTATGGTATAACAGGAAAAGGGAAAGTAAACAGGGACCTCTTTATATCTTTTAAGGCATCAAAGCTGGTAAGAAATAAAGGCCCAAAAGCAGCCTTTTCATTTTTATAATGCTAGGATAACTTTCTATGAAATTTAGTTGATGGAAGCTATCCCAAATTACATTGATAAGGCCTCATTAAGAACTAGGAATACAGCAAGGGTTGAGAAGTCACAGGTTTTTGAATACTCTTTTATAGGGTTTCTTTCTTGGATAAATTAAACTGAAACCAAATAAAGGTAAAAAAGTGAATGAAGTTTTTTTTTTTTAATATTAAATATAAATAGGTTATATCCATATTACTAATTTTGACATTTCTGCTGAATACCATCTATGTTGCACTTTTGGGTTTCTTTTGACTAAGAAGAGTGAACACAAATAAAATTTGAACGATTAAGTTATAAAACCTAAATGAAGTCTCCCATACCCATCAATTACGATGTTTTGCACGTGTATGAACTCGTTGATGCTGAATAAGGTTTGTACTCTGGGTGAAGGTTTTACCACATATATGGCATACATAGGGCTTCTCTCCTGTGTGAATTCTCTGGTGTTGAATAAGGCATGTTCTCTGGCTAAAATCTTTGTCACATTCATTGCATTTATAGGGTCTTTCTCCAGTATGAGTTCTCTGATGTTGATTAAGTGATGATGAATAAATAAAAGCTTTTCCACATTCATTACATTTATAGGGTTTCTCTCCAGTATGAATTCTTTGATGTTGGGTAAGATTTGCACCCTGTCTATATGCTTTCCCACATATATTGCATTTAAAGGGTTTTTCTCCATTATGAATCCTCTGATGTTGAGTAAGGTGCACACTCTGGCTGAAGGCTTTCCCACACACACTGCATTTATATGGTTTCTCTCCAGTATGTGTTCTATGATGTTGAGTAAGGTTTGCACTCTGACTGAATGCCTTCCCACATATATTACATATATAGGATTTCTCTCCAGTGTGCGTAGTTTGATGTTGAATAAGAGTTGAGGAATGAGCAAAGGCTTTTCCACATTCGTTACATTTGTAACACTTCTCTCCAGAATGAATTCTTTGATGTCGAATAAGGTAAGTACTCTGACTGAACACTTTCCAACACTCATTGCATTTGTATGGTTTCTTTCCAGTATGTATTTTTTGATGTTGGAGAAGGTGTGTACTCTGACTGAAAGTTTTCCCACATTCATTACATATGTAAGGTTTTTCCCCAGTATGAACTCTCTGATGATTAATTAGTGATGAACTATGGCTGAAGGTTTTACCACATTCCAGGCATTTATATGGTTTCTCTCCAGTATGCGTCCTTTGATGTATAGTAAGGTGTGCACGCTGACTAAAATCTTTCCCACAGTCATCACACTTATAGGGTTTCTCTCCAGTATGGATTCTCTGATGTATAGTAAGGTGTGCGCGCTGGCTGAAGGCTTTACCACACTGATGGCACTCATACGGCTTCTCTCCAGTATGCATTCTTTGATGTGCAATGAGGGATGAAATATGCCTAAACTCTTTCCCACATTCTTCACATTCATAAGATTTCTCTTTGGCATGGGTACTTTGGTGTTTCATGAGGGATGGGTATTTCCTAAATTTTTTCCCACATGTATTACATTTATAAGGCTTTTCTCCAGGACATATTTTCCTATATACAATACCAAATGGGACATGATTTAAGGTTGTCCTGCCTTCGTTATACATAAAAGTTTTATTATCTGATTGAGTACCAAATGGTACAATTAGGTGTGAATGCTTTTCAAAATTATTTCTAGATATATCATATTTACTAAGATACTCTTCTGTAGGATCATCTTCTGAAAGAAATGGCTTCAAACTGAAATCCCTCTCAATAGTGGGAATTTTTCTGAAGGCCTTTGTTGCTTGTCTCTCTAATCTGACATTGTAGTCATCTGATTCTTCCAATTTGATGGTCTGGGTAACATTATTTTTAAGGTCAGAAGTATCCTCTGCTGGAGTACACTCTTGGGCTTTAGTTTGCCATTCTGAAACAAAAAGAATATGAGAAGTCTTCCTCTATTTGGAGAAAGGAAACTGCTAAAACAGAAACAAAATAATAAGCATGAATGAAATACCTAAAAGTACTCTATGGTTCTGAAAACCTCAAAATATGGCCATTAAAACTTGGGAAAGATGAATAAAAGGGCAGAAAACTAAATAAGAGACTAAATTGTTGAAAAGGATAGGCTTCTCACTATTTAACAAGGACACAGACTGAATAAAATAGGTTTGGTTAGGTGCCAGATATGAGAGAATTGAAAGCAGTGGTAAGACTGTGGGTTAATATAGGATGACTTCATGGATTTGTTTATATAACAGGCTCAAAAAGGTATGCTGACTCTTATTATTCCCCCTTCTAATGTAGTTTGTACAATGCTACATAATCTTTCTAAAGCAATGTCATGGAGTGCTTTCCATGTTTAAAATCCCTGTATCTGAAAGGAATGGGTCTCAAAAGTATGGTCCCAAGATCAGCATCACTATTACCTGGGAATGTGTTAAATTATAAGGTCCCACCTGACATAATGAATCAGAAAACACTGGGGATGGAGCTGAAAAATCAGTTTTAGCAAGTCTTTCAGGTAATTATGATGCAAACTAAAGTTTGAAAACCACTGGCTTAAAGGATAAATGTCAAAGAGAGAAAAGGAAAAGAATAAAAATACCTCTAATTGGCATTCAGTTCTAAAATTATCTAGCCCTTTCTATTCTACTATATCTTCTACTAAATATTATATTCAACTTCTATATACCTTAAAATGATTTCTTCATAATATTCCACAGATGCCACACTAATTTCAGACTCCAGGCCTTCTCACATGATACCTCGCTAAAAATAATTATGGCTCAGCTCATGTTTCCCTCTGCAAAGCTCTTCTAAGGATTGTAAAGTACAGATTATTAGATTGAACCATATGAAATTTCCCTTTTTGTAGGTCAAAATGGCTGAATATCAGCACTCCCATATGGTTCAACTTAATCCCACATGGAGTCCCAGGGTGGTACAAATGATTAATGTGCTTGGCTGCTAACCAGAAGGTTGCAGTTTTGAGTATACCCAGAGGCACCTTAAAGAAAGGCTTTGCAATCTATTAATGAAAAATCAGCCACTGAAAACCTTATGAGGCATAGCTTTACTCAGACACACATGGGGTTGCTGTGATTTGATGGCCTGGGAAGGGATGAGGCCTTATTATTACTATTGCACAATTTTTTTGTGTTTCATTTATTTACAACTTAGATGCAAACTCTGGAAATATCTCATGCTTTTTTTATATATATTTCCTTCAGAAAATGGTCCAAGACTATGTATATATTGACTGTTCAACTGAACTGGTTAAATGAATCAGTTCATTTAACATATTGTAAAAAAGTGAACTCATAAAAGCAAAAAACTAAAAACAAAACAACAACAACAAAAAAACCCCTTCAATTATTTGACTCCAAACCTGGCTGCAAAGCATTCAAATATGTCTTTGTTGATAACTATTATATTTCCAGTATGTTGATTTAAAACAAAACTCAGTGACAACCCCTTTTCCTTTAGAGTAATGTGGGAAACATGTGACTTGCAAATATTAAAAATCATATAAGCAAATATGGAATTTAAAATATTAAATTAAAAGTTAAAAAATTTCCTAAGATGAAGCCCAAAGTATAACTTCACAAATATATACACTCAATAGAATAGTATGGAGTCATTACAAATACTTATATCTATCAATAAAGACTTGTTAAGAGTAGGAATGATGGAATACTGATAACTGATAATTAGGTGGGTCTATTTGCAGTAATATGAAACGGTGTGCAGGACACATTACTAAATGAAAAAAGGCACACACAATCTTAGATTTCTAAGAAGGTCCTAGTAACGGGTACGGGGAGAGAGACACAAATTTCATTTTGTTTTCTTGAATTTACAAACTACTTTGATTACTTCTATTCAAGTAAAAAAATCATGGTTGCCATAAAAAATGTTTGGGGATAATGTTAAATGAAAAAAGCTGTATCATAACTAGCATAGAAAGCACACTAGAAGAACTGGAAACATTTTAAAAATGCTCACAGATTACAGGTTTTCTATTTTCAATAGACTGTATTTCTTTTATTATTATTAGAAATATAGTTATACCTACTCCTTACTTATCAACCATCTCATTATCTGACATTTTGCATTTGTGACAATAGTAAAAAATCTGTTATCTATTTTGTGCATTAATGACGTACGTCTGGCAGTAATGAATGTTGAGGTGCAAGGATGTGATGGCTGTGATGGTTAAGGTGATGTGTCAACTTGCTGGGCCATAGTTCTAGTGGTCTGGCAGCTATGTAATGATGTAGTTATCCTCCTTTTTGTGATCTGTTGTGGTCATCCTCCATTTTCAAATAAAGCTGATTTTTGTATAACGATCTAGTCTTTGGAACATAACTATGTTGACAAGTGAGGAGACTTTTTTATAGAAGAAAAAGTCAAAAAACTTCCCCAAACTAGGATTTTTTAAGCCTCTACCCAAAAGAAATATGAGAATGTAAATGGCTTGTACAGTTATAGTTAGGGGTGTGGGTGTGTGTTTGTGTGTGCGTGTGTATACAAGCTGAGATAGTACCAGCAGCTGAATTTAAGGTCTATGTAATCAGAATCAATTTACGATAGATTATACTATATACCTGAAAAGGAAGTACTAAAATTAGAACTATGAAGCTTAAAGTAACAACTCTGAATGACAGTGAATATTGCTACTATAAACATGTATTTTTAACCAATCTGTTTATTTAGAAATTAAGATCACTATTTAACTGAAATTAGTGTTTAATAAGATGCCACCCATGACTACTGGTTTTGTTAGTTCTCAGGTAGGGAGAGGGGATGAATAATAGCCTCTGGTGGCATAGTGCCTAAGGCATTTGACTGCTAACCTGAAAGCTGGCGGTTCAAACCCACTAGCCACTCCTTGGAAGGACAGTTGGGCAATCTACTTCCATAGTGATACTGCCTGGGAAACCCAAGGAGGTGTCGCTATGAGTCGGATCCAACTCCATGGCAATGGGTTTCTAATATACTTATAGATAAATACTGGAACTAATGGATTAATATGCTTTGAATTTTTAAAAATTCCATTAGCTCATAGTGATATATAGAGTGAGAGAAGAGAAAGCTATACTTTACAAGAAAATTCTAGTTAATCATTTAGAAGAGATGAATGAATTAGGAAATCACCATTTTGCAACCAGTAATGCAGATTTAGGCAAGAAACATCAGTAGACACTAAAACTCTCAAATAAAGGTTGGTTATCAAGCAATAGGGTAGTTATGTGGCCTCAAAGTATCATGCCACAGTTATTAATTACAAAGAAAAAAATGTACCTTTAATATACAGAGATCTGATAGTCATCACCTTAACCAATCTAAGCATCATAAATGATGAGACAAATTGACATTATACACATTATAAGGAAATGTAATAGAAAGTACACACCACCTATGTAATATCCATGGCAAAAATATTTAAACTGAATCTAATCATGAGGAAACAATCAGGCAAATCCAGATTATGGGATATTCCACAAAGAAACCAGTCTGGGCCCTACAAAAATACTAATACTATAAAAGATTGAAAAAAGAAAAAGGCCAAGGAATAGTACTTGATCAAAAGGGATTAAAGGCACAAGATAACCATGTGGAATATGCAGTTCCTGACAGAATTCTGGATTGGGAAAACAGCTATAAAGGCTATTTTGCACACAACTGGGGAATCTGAGTATCTGACTATATATTAGATGACAGGATTGCATATATGTTAAATTTTTTGGAGTGTGACTAATGGTGTAGTGCTTATGTAAGAGAATGTTCATGATCTTAGGAGATGTATGCTGAAATATGTAGGGGTGACATGTCATCATGTCTGCAACTAACTTTCAAATGGTTTAGTATGTGTGTGAAGAGAGAAGCATAAAATGGCTAAATGATAATAATTGGTGATTTCTGGTGAAAAGTATTCAATGTACTCTTGTAACTTTTATGTAGGTTTGAAATGTTCTAAAATTAAGTTGTGGAGGGAAGAAATAAATAAGAGCAATAGAAAAAGTTCATCAATAGGGAACAGATTAGATAAATCATAAAACACCCAGTAAAATATATTGCAGATATAAAAAGAAGAACAAGGATGCTCTTTACATACTAATTTGGAACACTCTTCAAGACATCCTTCAAGTAAAAACAGTAAGTACAAAGCCATGTGCACAGAATGCTGTTTATATTAAAAAACAGAAAAAAAGTATGTTTTTATATTGGCTTTATGAGGAAAAAGAAGCTCTGGTGGCATTATGGTTAAAGCACTGGGTTGCTAACAAAAGGTCAGCAGTTCAAATATATTGATGGTTTGAACCCACCAGCTGTTCCACAGGAGAAAGATGGGGCAGTTTGCCTTCACACAGATTTACAGTCTTGGAAACCCTATGGGGTGGTTCTATCCTGTCTTAAAGGATCACTATGAGTTGGAATCGACTTGATGGCAGTAGGTTGAAGAATTCTGACCTTGAGGTCAGATGTGCCTAAGGCACTTGACTGCTAACCAGAAGGCTGGCGGTTCAAAGCCACCAGCCACTCCTTGGAAGGAAGGTTGGGCATCTACTTCCGTAGCGATACCGCCTCGAAAACCCAAAGAGGGGTCACTATGAGTCGGGTCTGACTTGCCAGCACATAACAACAACAACAGCAACAGGTTAGATGTTAGGGGTTATATAGAGAACAAACAAACAAACAAACCCTGAAAGTATGAACTAAAAACTAGTAACAGTGGTTACGTGTTGGGGAGATGTAGGAACTGGCTCACTAGTGGAAGATTTTTGGCTCTATATCTTTATACTTTTTTTTTGTTCTTTTCAATTTTTATTGTGATTTAGGTGAAACTTTATAGAGCAAATTCACTTTCCATACAGCAGCTCACATACACTTTGTCTCATGACGTTGACTGTAATTTACTTACAATGCAACAGCTCACCTCCCACTTCCTCCCCATAGTTACCTCTTTCCTGTGTCCTTCCCTCCCACGCACTCTTGCCCCGAGCTGTCTCCCTGCGCATACACTGGCCTTCTATTCTCCTATGACTGATTTCTCCAAGGAGAGTATCTACCTAATGTAGATGTTCAACTCATATGTCTGTCTTTTCCTTTATATATTGTTAAATCTTGTGAATATATTATCTATTTCAATAATTAGAGAATAAAAAAAAAGAAGGGAAAGGATTAGGAAAGTAGAGGTAGGCGCTACAGAGTTTGTCAGTGAACAAAATAACAGAAAATCCAAAAGAAGAAAAACTTCCAAAACAAGAAATACATTTAGTTTTTTAGGGGACATTAATACATACTTGAATGTAGAGGGGGAGAAAGGCAAAACAAAAGCCCTAAACAAGGCTCTGAGGGATGGGCTCTAGGAATTATATGAAAGAATAAAATGGAAAGAGACACAAGGGAAAGGTATAACAATGATGTGTGAATGATCTTCCTGAGAAGACAGCACCTCTAAGGAAGATACAACAGTTCAAAGCTGTTGACAGGCTTGAGATGCCTTTGTGGAGTGACTTAGCCATATTAAAAAAAAAAAAAATGTATTTCTTCCACATTAAAGGTATAGGCTCTTAAGTACAGAGAATCTCATGTGCTAGTTATTCACTCACCTGGACTAGGGCCTTCTAAAATTTCTTTTATCACTAGCCATGGTTCTTCCAATATGGGAATCACACTCGGTCTGTAAACTGTAAGTCCTGTTTAGAAAAAAATATAATGAGGTTTATCCTGGAGATAAATAGTTGCTCAGAGTTTATTACCAAACCCTTACTTAACAGGAAGGACAGATCTCTACAGGAAAATAATTGTTCACAGACATGATCTAATAAGACAATTAATTAGGTCACTGTCCTTTATACAATACAGGAGAAAAATTTCCTGTCACCCAGCAGACTATGCATGTGGATCATGGGGGAAGAATCCTTCACTCATAGCAGCAGAAAATGTGTAAGGCACAGCATCAGGTGTAGCATCATGAAGCTGTGCATCAACGTTCTCAATATTTCACTTATAAAACTTTTGTTTGGGAAAATACAGTGGAACATAATACTTTTTGTACATGAATGGGATGAGAACATGCATCTCTAGACCTCATTCTTAGCTAAGTACTTCAGAGGATCAACCCATTTTTAACAACTAGGCCAAAAATGATACTCTGGTGGGAATGCTGGGATGAGGAGTGGAAGTAGACTATCCTTACCCAGAGAAACCATGTTCCAATAGTTCTGTAACGTTACAGTCTTGTACAATTCCTTCTGCACAGGACGCATTAACTCCCAGTCTTCCTGGGTGATGTCCACAGCCACATCCTTGAATGTCACTGATTCCTAAAACACCAAAGACAGCATAACTGGGTTCAAGTGCTAATGGGACAGGAGACAGTGATAACACTTAGTGTGTTTGGTGGGGAATCACAGAATCTAGTTTTAGGGCTCTAAAGTTATCTAATCAAAACTATCAATCACCCAAAGAATGACTGACTCCACAGCATTCCTTAATGGCCCTGCCACCTTTCACTGACAAATGATACTAAAGGGAAGTTTGAAAATAAAGGGAAAATTATAATTTTCAATTGATGCTATACATGCATTTGCAGCTCTGTCTTAAAGAAGAAGAGATTTAAACATAGGTGACATAAGGGATTGAAAGGGTTTACTTCTCTTTTTTTAAAAAAATTTTATTGAGATTTGGGTGAAAGTTTACAGAGCAAATTCATTTTGACTGCTAACCAGAAGGTTGGCAGTTCAAACCCACCAGCCACTCTGTGGAAGGAAGACTGGGCAATCTACTTCTGTAAAGATTTACCACCCCAGAAACAAGGGGGTTGCTATGAGTCACAACTGACTCGATGGCAGTGAGGTTGTTTTTGTTTGTTTGACATAAGGAACTGAATGGGTTTACTCCTCTAGCTTTTTTTTTTTTTTAATTTTTATTGTGATTTGGGTGAAGGTTTACAGACCAAATTCATTTTCTATACAGCACTTCACACACATTTTGTTTCATGACATTGACTGCGATCCCCACAATGTAACAGCTGTCTTCCCACTTCCTCCCTGTAGTTACCTCTTCCTTGTGTCCGTCTTTCCTATCTATTCCTGCCCCCCGAAGCTACTGCCCTTTGCAAATATTGCCCTTGTGTCCTCCCATGATTGATGGCTCTAAAGAGTGTATGTGCCTGGTGTAAATGTTCACCCTATTTACCTGTCTATGGTTTGGCTGGAAGCCATGTATGTGAGCTCAATTCTAGGCCTGAAGGGTAACTAGGGACATTAGTCTCTGGGATTTCACCAGGCTCTATCAGACCAGTTTAAGCCTTTTTTTTTTTTTTTTTTTTATGATTTTGATTTTGTTCCACATTGTTCTCCTACTCTATCCAGAATCTCCTGCACTAATCCCTTGAGTGGTTGAGAGTGATAGCCAGGCACCATCTGATTCTTCTGGTCTCATGGTCATATAGGCTGAGGTTCACATGGTCTACTAGTCCTCTGGACTAATTGTTTCCATGAATCTTTGGTTTTCTTCATTCTTCTTTGCTCCGGATGAGGAGAGACCCATCATTGCATCTATATGGCTGCTTGCAAGCTTTTAAGACCCCAGTTGCTATTCACCAAAGTAGGATGTAGAACAATGTTTTTGTGTAGTGTGTTAAGTCAACTGAGCTTGAAGTACCCCGTGGCCATGGTCCCAAGCCCACAGGTCCAACAACTTGCTCCATCAGGGTGGTTGAGAAGCATTCATAACTTTACCCTGTAGTTCTATTTATATGGACATTCTTACAGCACATACAAATACATATGTAAAAATATCATCTGCCAATCTCATATATGATCATGGGTATATTTCCTTTTGCCTTGAGATACCTGATCTAGCCTGTCTTAAGAATAACCCGATCTAGCTTGTCTTAAGAATAAATTCAAGTTCTTCTAATTTGAAATTTTAAGATTTTTCTTTTGTGTGTGTGTTATGTGATAAAATGCAGAGGTTTCATTTTAAATAAAACTAGTATCAATGAGCACAATGCTCAGACACATTTTACAATCTGGTAAGGTTAGTGTCCTGCTTTGGTCTTCTTTTTTTTTTTTTTAAATCTTTGGTAACTTTTACATGTTGACTTTTTTCAAATAAAATATAATTATCAAGTTCTTTAAGAATTCATATTGGGATTTAAAAATTGTATTAATTTATAATTTAGAGAGGACTGACATCTTTATAAAATTCAAGTTTTTCATGTCCTATAGAAGGGTAGGGAGCACTGGTAGCGTAGTGCCTAAGGCACTTGCCTGCTAACCAGAAGGCTGGCAGTTCAAACCCACCAGCCACTCCTTGGAAGGAAGGTTGAGCAATCTACCTCCGTAGTGACATTGCCTCGGAAACCCAAGGAGGGGTTGCTATGAGTTGGGGCTGACTTGATAGCACATAACAACAACAACAACACTGTTTATTACCACCACTAGTCTGTCAGTTTGTGTTAATGTGGTGGCTTGTGTATGGCTGTGATGCTGGAAGCTATGCCACCAATTTTTCAAATACCAGGAGTGTCACCCACGCTGGACAGTTTTCAGCAGAGCAGTCAGACTAAGTCAGACTAGAAAGGAGGACCTAGCAATCTACTTCTGAATAAACCGGCCAGTGAAAACCTTATAAACAGCAGCAGAACACTGTCTAATATAGTGCTGGAAGACGAGCCCTTCAGATCAGAACGCACGCAAAATACGACTGGAGAAGAGCTGTCTCCTCAAAGTACAGTCAACCTTAATGACCTAGTTTTCAGGACTTTCATTTGTGTCATAGCTCAAAATGGGAAGAAACAGCTGCAAACATCCACTAGTAGTTGGAACACTGAATGTATAGAGTGTGAATCTAGGAAAATTGAAAAGTCATCAAAAATGAAATGTAATGCATAAAGATCAATATTAGGCATCAGTGAGCTGAAATGGACTGGTATACTGAATCAGATAATCAAATGGACTGGTATTTTGAATCAGATAATCATATGGTCTACTACGTTGGGAATGAAAATTTGAAGAGGAATGGCTTTACATTCATCATCAAAAAGAACTTTTCAAGATCTATCATGAAGTATTATGCTGTTAGTGATAAGATAATATTCGTACACCTATCAGAAAGGCCAGATAATATAACTATTATTCAAATTTATGCACCAGACACTAATACCAAAGATAAAGAAATTAAAATTTTTACCAACACTTGCAGTATCAAATTGATCAAACATGCAATTAACATACATTGATCATTTCTGGTGATTGGAATGCTAAAGTTGGAAACAAAGATGAAGGATCAGTAGCTGGAAAACATAGTTTTGATGATAGAACAATGTTGGAGATCGCATGATAGATAGAATTTTGCAAGACCAATGATTTACTCATTGCAAATATCTTTTTTCAACAGCCTCCAAAAAAGGAAAAAAAAAACCACCAAACTCACTGCCGTCAAGTCAACTCCGACTCAAAGTGACCCCTTCTTGGGTTTCTGAGGCGGTATCACTACGGAAGTAGATTGCCTAGTCTTCCTTCCAAGGAGTAGCTGATGGGTTTGAACACCAGCCTTCTGGTTAGTAGTCAAATGCCTTAGGCAATACACTACCAGAGCTCCCTTTCAACAACATAAAGGTGACTATACTCAAGGACCTCACCAGAGGAATACACAGGAATCAGATAGACTACATCTGTGGAAAGAGACAATGGAGATGCTCAATAAAATCAGTCAGAACAAGGCCAGGGGCTGACTGCAGAACAAACCACCAACCGTTCAAGCTGAAGCTGAAGAAAATTATAACAAGTCCACAAGAGCAAAGTCTGACATTGAGTATGTCCCACTTGAATTTAGAGACCATCTCAAGAATAGATTTAATGCAATGAACACTAATGACTAGAGACCAGATGAGTTGTGAGATGGCATCAATAATATCACACATGAAGAAAACAAAAAGTCATCATTAAGATAGTAAAGAAATGAAAGACCAAAACAGATGTCAGAAGAGACTCTGAAACTTGTTCTTGAATGGAGAGTAGCTAAACCAAATGGAAGAAAGATAAAGCACAAGCTGATCAAAAAAATTCAAAGGGCAGCTTGAGAAGACAAAGTAAAGTATCATAATGAAAAGTGTAAAGACCTGGAATTAGAAAATCAAAAGGGAGAATGGGCTTGGCATTTCTCAAACTGAAACAACTGAAGAAAAACTCAAGCCTCAAGTTGCAATACTGAAGGATTCTATAGGCAAAATATTGAACAATTCAGGAAGCATCAAAAGAAGATGGAAGGAATACAAAGAGTTACTGTACCAAAAAGAACTGGTTGATATTCAACTATTTCAGGAAGTGGCATATGATCTAGAACTAATGGTAATAAAGGAAGAAGTCCAAGCTGTACTGAAGGCATTGGCAAAAAACAAAGCTCAAGGAATTGATGGAATACCAATTGAGATGTTTCAGCAAACGGATGCAACACTCAAAGTGCTCACTGGTTTATGCCAAGAAATTTGGAAGACAGTTACCTGGTCCATTCCAAAGAAAGGTGATCCAACAGAATGTGGGAGTTATTGAACAATATCATTAATATCACCTGCAAGTACATCAACACAGAACTGCCAGAAATTCAAGCTGGATTCAGAAGAGCATGGGATATCATTACTGATGTCAGGTGGATCTTGGCTGAAAGTAGAAAATACCAGAAAGGTGTTTACCTGTTTTTTTATTGACTATGCAAAGGCATTTGACTGTACGGATCATAAAAAATTATGGGTAACATTGAGGAGAATGGAAATTTCAACACTTAATTGTGCTCATGAGGAACCTGTACACCAACCAAGAAGTAGTCATTCAAACAGAACAAGGGGATACTGCACGGTTTAAAATCTGGAAAGGTGTGCACACAGTTCTATCTTTTTACCATATTTATTCAATTTGTATGCCTAGCAAAGAATTCAAGAAGCTGGACTATGTGAAGAATGTGGCATCAGGATTAGGGGAAGAATTATTAACAACCTGTGATATACAGATAATACAACCTTGCTTGCTGAAAGTGAAGAAGACTTGAAGCACTGATGAAGATCAGAAACTAGTCTTCAGTATGGATTACACTGCAACATAAATAAAACTTAACTGGACCAATAAGCAACATTATGATAAATGCAGAAAAGGTAGAACCTGTCAAGGATTTAATTTTTCTTTGATCCACAATCAACATCCTTGGAAGCAGCAGTCAAGAAATCAAAAGACATACTGCATTGGGCAAATCTGCTGCGTAACACCTCTCTAAAATGTTAAAAAGCAAAGATACCACTTTGAGGACTAAGGTCCATCTAATCCAAGCCATGGTATTATCAACTGCCTCATATGCATGTGAAAGCTGGAACATGAGTAAGAAAGACCAAAAAAGAAATGATGCCTTTGAATTATAGTGCTGATAAAGGATGCTTAATATACCGTGGATTGCCAGAAGAATGAACAAATCTGTCTTAGAAGTATAGGCAAATGCTCCTTAGAAGTGAGGATGGCAAGACTTCATCGCATGAACTTTGTATGCTATCAAGAGAACAGTCCCTGGAGAAAGACATCATGTTTGGTGAAGCGGAGGGTCAGCAAACAAGAGGAAGACCTTCAATGAGATGGACTGATACAGTGGCTGCAACAATGGCAATGATTGTGAGGATGGTGCAGGGCCAGGCAGTGTTTTGTTCTGTTGTACAAAGGTTTGCTATGAGTTGGAACTGACTCAACAGCACATAAAAACAACACTTTTTAAAAAATAATTTATTATAATCCAGGTATCATAATATTTAATCCTCACAATCTGTGGTAGTTAAAGTTATGTATCAAGTTGGCTGGGCTTGATTTTGAGTATCTGGGCAGCTGGTGGTAGAATTCACCATGATGAGACTGGCAATCAATTCCATGGTGGAATCTGACATGAATAGCTGAATAGTTGCTTTAGGAATGTCGTCTGCTTCCTGTATATGAGGAGAAACTCTGGGAACGGTCTCCAGCTTTTTGGCATGCTTGGACCCTGCATGTAGCTTAGTGTTCATTCACCAGCCTGCCATGCTCTGCCAATCTTGGGACTTTAAATGGATTTGAATCAATGGTCTGCCATGTGGTTTAGTAATTTCAGGATTGTGCCTTTTTACAACAATTATTGACCTTGGGTTTGTCAGCCTCAGCAGCCAGCAGCTGCCTGAGTGAAGTGATGGCTCTAGCTTCAGTGGGTTGGGAGCAAGAGGCAGAGCTGAAGCCCAAGATCGAGGGGCTTTCACCCAGCCCCTAGAGCCTGGCATTTTGAACTCAGACTTCTACCCTCCAAAATTGTAAGAGAATAAACTCCTGTTTGTTAAAGCCATCCCATTTGTGTATTTTTCTGTTAGAGCAACATGAAGTAACCAAAACACAATCTAAGAGGCAAATCCTATTTATTAAAGTTTGAAGAGCTCAAGCTAAGAGTGGTTATTTATCTTGTCCCAAATCACATACCCAGTAGCAGAGTCAGGAACCAAACCCACCTTTACCACCCTTAACATTGGTGCAATGTTGCTGCCTTACAGTCAGAGAGTGAGGATGGGGGCATGTCCAAGAAGGCAATGAGAGTCCACTTCCTACAAAGTATATTACCTTAACACGCCAAGGTGACTCAAGGAAAGAAATGAAGCTTAGGTCCTAGATATGGCTTTTGGGGATACAGAAGCTGTAGTTAGGAAATATCCTTACACACTAAGATTGCATTTTAAAATCACAGCAGAAACTCAAACTCACTTTGGTCACCAAGTCATTTAGCCACCCTGCCTGGAAAACAGTGGCCATGTCTTCCTCTGGGGTCTCTTGGGAAAGGGCAGAGTTCTGAGGAGGAGCTAGAGAAAAGAAAGAGACCATGATGAAGATGAGTCCTGTTTAAATAGCCTAGGCTTCAGGCTTCCTCAGTTTAGAAATCTTTCACCACATAGATGCTTACACTTTCTTAAACTAAGAAGTCAGAGGAATCCCAAAACAGCACTCCTGCCTCAAAGAATAAAAAAGAGGCAATGACTTATCCTAAGATGACAATGCAGGCTTTAAGAATAAGTCTGCTCTGGGACGCTTATGTATATGCACCAAATTCACAATTTTCCACCTAAATCCTTATGTGATGTAAATGGTGTGAGTTGTCTCTTTACTTAATAAGGAAATGTTTTGTGGACATTTTTCTACATTTTTAGAAGCATGTAATTATAAAATCCAATTTGCAAAGCAAATGATTGGCAGAATGGTGCAAATCTCTGTAGGTAAACTTTGTGTCTGGTCATTCCTTTTATGACAATTTCCTCTGACTTTAGATAACATGTGTTTGGTTCCAAGCAATCTTAAGGGGAACATCAAAGCAGGATGGGGCTCATGTTAAAGCCCCATGAGTGTTCTCATTCACTCACTGATGTTTCTTTTCTCCCAATGTCTTTAAAGGGGTTGCTGTCTGGTGTGCTGGTTGTCCTCTCGAACCACCCAGGGCTCCTTCCCCTCTTAAATCTACAATACTTACCTTCCTCTTCTAGAAGCTGAGCCAAATCCTCCACCAGAGTCACCACTTCTTCACTGTTCTCAGGGTACTGGGATTTCACCCAAGTCCTAACCTCCCCAGGCAGTATAGTCAGGAATTGCTCCAACACCAGCAGCTCCAGAATCTGTTCCTTTGAGTGAATCTCGGGTCTCAGCCATTTAAGGCAGAGCTCTCGGAGTTGACTCAATGCTTTTCGAGGACCAGACAGTTTTGGGTAAGGAAAATTCCTAAAATTCTGTCGACAGGCCTCAGTGTCACGTGAGATTCTTGAAGCAAAGATTGCCCTCTCATTATTGCGAGATCCACTCTGAGTTCTGTCTTGTTTCCACGTTAGAAAGATCTGGGATCGCAAAGAATTGGTCATCCTCTTGCTTGGGGCTAACATTGCTATAGGCAGGAGAATCAATCTGGCAATATCTTTTATTTCTTCAGTAGTAAGCCAACTGCTTTAAGTCTCATGCTAGAGACACAAAGACATTAGATCAAGGGCTGCTGCAGTCAGGCGCTGAACAGGTCAAAGAAAAGTTAGCAGCCTTTGCCACAAATTCTGAGCCAGAACCTGTAGGAATGGTTAAGACACCCTGAAACACAAGAATGGACCATGAGGTCAAGAATTTTCAGCATTATCTGCTATACACATACATACAGAAACAGACTCCAAAGTCCACAGATACACACAGACTTTCATACTGTAAAATAACTGCAAGCTTCTTGGGGAGGGCAGGGGCTGGGTTACCATAAAAAGGTAGTGATGAAAGCAAAAACTTAGAGAATCAAGAGCAAAACGTCAGATAAACTTCTAATTTGTTGAAGCAGGAAAAAAAAAGTCCCAGCATTTTAGTCATTGATGTTACAGAAGCTGTAATGACTGGGCTGGCTCTCAATAACAAGAGAGCAAATCTATTGTTACTTGGCTCTAACTGGGAGAATTTCTTAAGAAAGTGTTCAAGGTTCCCAAGGGAACTGTCAGGAAAAATAGGCGTGCCATTTACTTGCTTTGCATGTTAATGCCAGCCTATTCCAGCTTTTCACTATCGCAGGGCTGGGAAAACAAGACCGTTGGATTGGAAAGAATCGCGAAGTACACAGGAGGTGGGTGTGATTTGAAGCCCTTTAATCTGAATCGAGTCAAGGGCAATGGGTTGGGTTTGGTTTTTCTAAGTGCCTCTACAGGACACAATTTCTTAAGGATAAATCTGAAATCAGGATTTCTAATGAAAACCTCACAATTGGCCTGACCTGGAGGAGAACTGATAGCACCTGCCCACGGGCTTCAGCTGAGATCTCCTGTCACCAAAACTGTTTACAAGGCCCTGCAGAGATGATGCACAGGCCTCGCCTGCCCTCGCCTTCACTTTTCCAGCCGTCTCTCTTCTATTTTAGGTGGCGGGCTAAAGGGGAGTCAGAGACCCGCGTCGCGCTCGGACTGGGCCCCCACAACTGCCTCAACCCGCCTTAGCCTTCGCCTTCCCGATAGGTGGCGAGCACCGGCGCCCACGAGATGACCAAGCCCGGCGTGGCCCTGACCAAGCGGACACTCTACCCCGGCGCCTGGGACATCATTACCTGTCGTGTGGACCCGACAGACGAGCAGCCAGAGCGGCCAGAGAGGCCACGGGCAACAATGGCGGCGGGTCGCGGGCTCCTGCGCGGTTGGCTCGGTCCTGCGCTGCACAGGGGCTTCTGGGCTCCTCTCTTGCCTGTCCAGGAAAGTACCAAGTGTCTCGGCCCGGAGACACACGCTCCAGTCGGGTCCTGGGAAACCCTGCCCCGCACCGACAGTGCCTCGGCTTCCCTGCGACCTCGCCTCTGCGCCACTGCGCATGTGCGTCAGGAGAGCACTGCGCGCCCACACAGTCAATCGGAAACCGAACTTCTGCCTTCCCCTTCCTGAGCCTCTTTTCTGGGACCTGTCTCCATGGCAACCTCCTTCACCCATCACCAGGACTTGCTTGTTAGCCAGACAGGTAGTAAAGGGGAACTTTAAAGTTTCCCTGGGCTGAGGCAGGTCTGGGAGATGACTTGGAGGTCGGGGAGGTACCAGTAACTGGAGGAGGGCGGGGATGGGGTTTAAGTCCCTTATCAATTATCCAGAGAAAACCGGATGCCAGAGTTCCTAATGGGAAGACTGGAAGCAATATGTGGGTTTAAAGGCAGAAAGACATGAAGTGCTGGATCGGATTTACTGTGCATAAACACCGTTAAAAGTTCTATATCCTACAACATATTACTTACTGAAAAACAAAAACCAAACAAACCGACTGCCATCGAGTCAATTTAATGCTGCTAACTGAAAGCTCCGTGGTTCCAACCCCACCACCCACTGTGTGGGAGAAAGATAACGTAGTCTGCTTCTGTAAGATTTAGAGTCTTGGAAACCCTATGAGGCAGTTCTACTCTGTCCTATAGGATCCCTATGAGTCAGATGTTATTTACAAGAGATACAAAACACTTGAAAAAGATAGAAAACAACACTGGTGTTCCTTTGTTAACAAACCTTAGTGGTTTTAAGGGACAACTTTTTTTTTTTTTTTAATGTTGCTTGTTTTCTAAACCACCCCTGCCAACCAAAAAAAAAAAAAAAAACCCACAAAAACCCACTGCCGTCAAATAGATTCAGACTCATAGCAGTATTCTTTTGTTGTTGTTATGTGCTGTTGGATCAGACCTGACTCATAGCGACCCCTTCGTGGGTTTCCGAGGCAGTATCTATCACTACGGAAGTAGATTGCCCAACCTTCCTTCCGAGGAGTGGCTGGTGAGTTTGAACTTCCAGCCTTCTGGTTAGCAGCCAAGTGCCTTAGGCACTACACTACCAGAGCTCCTAGCAGTATTCTAGGCATCAAGAATTTGGAAGAACAATGGAGGCCACCCACCCACCCATTGCTGTCCTGTTTATTTAAACTCACAGTGACCCTATAGGACAGAAAACTGCCTCCTAGGGTTTCCAAGGCTGTAATATTTACAGAAGCAGACTGCCACATCTTTCTCCTGTGGAGAGGCTGGTGGACTCTAACTGCTGTGACATCAGGGCTCCTAATAGTGGAGGCAGCTCATCTCTACTCCATTGTATCTGGAGCCTCAGTTAGCTGGGGCTGGGAGGGTTCGTTCTGAGATGGTTTCTATAGTTGCATTATCTTGGGCTTGGGCTGAGACTGGCTTAAACATGAGCTCACCTTGGACTTGACCAGAATGCCTACATGTGGCCTCTCTAGCACAAAAGAGGTAGTTGGATTTCTTACCTAGTAGCTCCAAGAGGGAGTGTTCTAGTAGACACTCCATGAGTGATGGCTAATTGTGGCCTAGTCTTGGAAGTCCCATAGCATCACTTCTACCATTCTCTATTGGTCAAAGCAGTCACAAGCCTGTCAAGTTCAAGTGAAAAGAGATGTAGACTGTATTTCTGATGGGAGGAGAGAGTGTTTAAGAGTTTTAAAATGACCACACCAAGAAAATTTGAGCCAAAAAAAGTTGGGTAGTATGATTTTTAAAAATAATACTTTATTTTGTTTTTGGTGAAAGTTTACGCAGAAGTTCAACTAGTTCTATAAAAATTGTTCAACAACATTGGTTACATTCTTCACAATACATGAACATTCTAATTATTTCCATTCTGGTTGTTTTGTTTCTATTAATCTAGTTTCCCTGCCCCCTATGTTTTCTTCCTGTTTTAAAGGAATTGCTGAGCATTTTTGACATATAGACGATTTTTAAAAGAAGCACAGTACTCATGAATGTTATTCTTTATTTTGTGAGCCAATCTGTTATAACTAAAAGGTGACCTAAGGGGCTAGTTTTGGATCAAGATTTAAAGATTATTTTAGGGCAATAGTCTTGGGGAGTTCTCTAGTCTCAACTGGTCCAGTAAGTCTGGACTTTTTAGGAATTTGAATTCTGTTTCATATTTTTCTCCCATTCTGTCAGGATCTATCTATTGTGGCCCTGATCAGAACAGTCAGTAGTGGTAGAGGAGGCTGTGGCTTGTGTGGACTAATAGTAGATTAGTTTCTTCCTTGAATCTTTGGTTTCCTTCTTTTTCATTTGCTCCAGATTTGTAGAGACCAATATTTATATCTGAGATAGCTGTGTGCAAGCTTTAAACACCACAGACACCACTCACCAACTAGGATGTGTAACATAAACTTTATGAACTCTATTATGCCAATTGAGTTATCTCATGAGATTATGGTCCTAAGCCTTCAAATACAGAAAACCAGTCCCACAAGGTGTTTGGTTATGTCTAAGAAGTATCCATAACTGTCTCCCCTATGTGCTTCATTATATATGTGAATATATATGCAACACACACATACTTGCATATATATGCAGACACCTGTATAAAACCAAGAAACTAAACCAGCTGCCATTGAGTTGATTCCAATTCATAGCAACCCTATAGGACAGAGTAGAACTTCCCCATAGGGTTTCCAAGTCTGTAAATCTTTATGGAAACAGACTGCCTCATCTTTCTCCTGTGGGTTTGAATCACCAACCTTTTGGTTAGCAGCTAAATGCCTTAACCACTGTGCCACCAGAGGTCCTACACTTATATACACATATGTTGTTAGGTGCCATCACGTCAGCTCCGACTCATAGTAACCCTACATATAACAGATGAAACACTGCAGGGTTGTGTGCTATCTTCACAATCCTTGCTATATGTGAGTTCATTGTTACAGCCACTGTGTCAATCCATCTTGTTGAGGGTGTTCCTCTTTTTTGCTGACTCTCCACTTTAGCAAGCATGATATCCTTCTCCAGGGAGTGGGACCTTCTGACAACATGAACAAAGTAGGTGAGACTGAGTCTGGCCATTCTCGCTTCCAAGGAACATTCCAGCTATACACTTCTTCCAGGACAGATTTGTTTGTTCTCCTGGCAGTCCATGGTATTTTCAGTATTCTTTGCCAATTCCCTAATTCAAAGGCATCAACTCTTCTTCAGTCTTCCATATTCATTGTCCAGCTATCACAAGCACATGAGGCGACAGAAGGTGCACCTTAATTTTCAGAATGACATCTTTGCTCTTTAACACTTGAAAGAGGTCTTTTTTTTTGCAGTAGATCTGCCCCGTGCAATACGCCATCTGATTTCTTGACTGCTGCTTCCATGGGTGTTGATTATGGATACAAGTAAAATGAAATCTTTGACAACTTTGATCTTTTCTTCATTTAACATGCTGCTGCTTATCGGCCCAGTTATGACAGTTTTCATTTTATGTATACACACATATACATACATGCTTATAAAACTCACTAAAACTCACTGCCATCAAGTCATTTTGGACTCATAGTGACCCCTCCTTGGGTCCTTGGGTTTCCGAGGTGGTATCTCTATGGAAGTAGATTGCCCAATCTTTCTTCCGAGGAGTGGCTGGTGGGTTTG